TCTATTCCTTTCTCTGATTCTTCTCCTTCTGGTACCCTTGTGAAACGAATGTTGTTAAGTTTTGTATTGTCCCAAAGCTCTCTTAAATTCTCCTGCTTTTTAATTTTTTCTCCCATTTGCTGCTCTGTTTGGGTATTTTTTTCTACTTTGTCTTCTAATTCGGTGATTCATTTTCAGCTTCTTCTAATCTACTATTGAATCCTTCCTAGGTATTTTTTATATCAGCTATGTCATTCTTTATTTCCACTTGATTTTTATTCATAGCTTCTACCTCTTTTTTTTATGCTGGTGTAGTTTCCACTGAGATCTTTATAATTCTTGTTAAGTTGCTTTAGTTCTCATTAAGTTGTTTGAGCACCCTTAAAACCATTGCTTTGAATTCTTTATCTGACAAATGATTTGCTTCCATTTCATGTAGTTCCTTTTCTGATTATTTCTCTTTTTTTTTTTTTCATTTGGGGGTTGTTTCTTTGTCTCAGTATTTTAGCAGTCTGGTAGTTCCAGGCCAGGTGAGGCTGTTGGGATATGTAGGTAGGTGGGTGTGTATCAGATAAGACTACTATGCCTCCCAAACTGTCCTGGTGTGTGGTGCTTCTTGTCTGTTGTGGGTCCTGGAGAATTGATAGCTGGCAGCTGATATGTGTCTGTTGTGGTAGATGCTGTTGGGGAATGTGGGTCCAGCTGGTGTGCTGTTGGGCTGGGCAGGTCCTCAGGTATCACTGCTGCCTGGTGGGGCTCAGTTCTTGATCAGTCGCTGCTGAGGCTCCTGAGGGCAGGTCTCTGCTCCCTGTCTGTGTTGCTGCTGCTACTGCTGCTGGGGGATGGGTCTGACCTACCAAGCCTCTATTGCTGCTGGGGGTGTGTTTTGGCTCCTGAGTCTCAGCTGCTGTTGAGGGCAGGGCTCCACTTCCCAGCTAATCACTGCTGGGTTGGGGATGGTGCTACTGTTGCTAGGGGTGGTGCTCGGCTCCAGCACCTTGCTGCTGTTGGGGGTAGGGCTTTGCTCCCAAGCTGGCTGTTACTGCTGCTGCTGCTGCTGGGGGTGGTGCTTAGCTCCTGAGCCCCGCTGCTGCCAGGAGCAGGTACCTTGACAGTGCCGCTATTGTGTACTGGTCTATGTTGGCACAGTGGGGGCCACTGGTCTGATGGTGCAAAGAGCACTGGTGGCCTCGGGTTGCTGGGCCCTAATGGCTCCCTGCTGCCTCCTTCCAGAGAAGACCCAGCAGATCTTTCAAAGCCACAGGACCTTCCAGCCCCGGACAGGCAGAAGCACCCTGACAAGCCATGTACAGCAGTAGCCAGCTGCTCCCCCATCCACAGCACCAGAACCCTCTGCCTTATGTTTACACACTGCTGTGCAGTTGTTCATCCACACTCATGTCCACTCACACTCTCTCTTGCCCTTGCTCACATTCTCACACACTCACTCTCCCTCTGGTCCTGCCTGCTGCCATCTGGCTACAACACATTTCTAAATACAACATGGTCAAAGAAGAAATCTCAAGATAAATTAAAAAAATATTTTGAACTAGCCTGGCCGATGTGGCTCAGTGGTTGAGCGTCAACCCATGCACCAAGAGTTCACAGGTTTGATTCCCGGTCAGGGCACATATCCAGGTTGTGGGCCATATTCCCAGGAGGGGATGTGCAGGAGGTGACCAATCTTTGTTCTCTCTCATCAATGTTTCTATCTCTCTCTTCCTCTCCCTTCTACTCTTTAAAAATTAATTTAAAAAAATTAAAAAATTTTTTGAACTAAATGAAAATACACCCAACTTATCAAAATTTGTGGGATGCAGTGAAAGCAATGTTTAGAAAGAAATATGTAGCATTGTATGCATAGATTAGAAAAGAAGAAAGATCTAAAATCAATAACCTAAAGTGAAACTTCACCAAAGAAGATAAATAGATGGCAAGTAAGCATGTGAAAAGATGTTCGGCAACATATGTCATTAGGGAATTACAAATTAAAACAACAATGAGATATTACTCTATACACTTATTAGAATAGCCCAAATCCTTGCCCGGCCAGTGTGGCTCAGTGGTTGAGCATCAACCCATGTACCAAGAGGTTACTCGTTCGATTCCTGGTCAGGGCACACGCCCAGGTTGTGGGCCTGATCCTCAGTGTGGGGTGTGCAGGAGGCGGCCAAACGATGTTCTCTCTCATCGATGTTTCTATCTCTCTCTATCCCTGTTCCTCTATCTCTAAAAAACAACAAAAAAAAGAATAGCTCAAATCCAAAACACTGATACCACCAAATGCTGCCAGGAATGTGGAGCAAAAGGAACTCTTGTTCATTGTTTTTTAATTTTTTAAATTTTTATTTTATTTTTTATCCTTGCCTGAGGACATTTTTCCATTTTTGTTCAGATAGAGTGGGAGGGAGCCAGAGGAAGAGAGAGAAAGAGAGAGAGAGTGAGAGAGAGAGAGAGAGAAAGAAGCATTGATGTGAAAGGGACACATCGAGTGGCTGCCACCCGCATGACCAACCTGGGCCGGGGACAAACTACAACCGAGGTACGTGCCCTTAGCGGGAACCGAACCCGGGTCTCTCTGGACTGCAGGCCGACGCTCTAACCACTGAGCCAAACTGGCCAGGGCTATTTTTTATTTTTTTATTGTTGAAAGTGGCATTCATTGTTATTGGGGATGCAAAATAATGCACCCACTTTGAAACACAGTTTGACAATTTCTTACAAAACTAAACATACTGTATGATCCAGCAATCATGCTGTATAGTATTTACCCAAATGAATTCAAAACTTATGCCCACACAAACACCTGCACACGGACGTTTATAACAGTTGTATTCATGACTGTCAGAACTGGGAAGTAACCAAGCTATCATTCAGTAGATGAATGGATAAATGAACTGTGGTCCATCCAGACAATGGAATATTATTCAGCTCTAAATGAAATGAGCTAACAAGCCACAAAAAGACATGGAGGACATGTCCTATTATACAGATAATCAGCTCATTAAAATAGATTCTAATCAGAAAAAAAAAAGGGACATGAAGGAAACTTAAATGTATGTTACTAACTGAAAGAAGCCACTCCAAGAAAGCTACATACTGGATGACTTTAACTCTATGACATTCTGGAAAAGGCAAAACTATGGCGACAGTCAAAAGAGTAATAGCTGTCAGAGGTTGGGGGGGGGGGTAATAGTGAATGGGCAAGAGCTCAGAGGATTTTTAAGGTAGTGAAACTAGTCTGTTTCTGGTGGGTGCATATCATTATACATCTGTCCAAACCCATAAATGTACACCACGAAGAATGAGCCCTGAATTCTAGACTTTGGGTAATAATGATGTGTCAGTGTAACAGATATACCACTCTCCTGCAGGGGTGTTGATAGTAGGGGAGGTGGTGCACCTGAGAGAACAGGGGGTCTGTGGGAACTGTCTGTACTTTCTGCTCAATTTTTCTGTGAACCTAAAACTGCTCTAAAGGTGAAATTTATTAATTTTAAAAAAGGCAAAAAAAAAAAAAATTGTGGTGCACCTCCACTCCCACAAGTTATTTGAATTAAGAACAATATGTGCCCTGGCTGGTTTGGCTCAGCGGTTAGAGCGTTGGCCTGTGGTCCAGAAAGACCCAGGTTCGGTTCCCGCTAAGGGCACGTACCTCGGTTGCGGTTTGTACCCGGCCCTGCTTGGGTGGTGCGGGTGGCAGCCATCCAATGTGTCCCTTTCATGTCGATGTTTCTCTCTCTCTCTCTCTTCCTCTCCCTCTCTCCCACTCTATCTGAACAAAAAATGGAAAAATGTCCTTGGGTGAGGATAAAAAAAAAAGAACAATATGTAGTAAATAAACCTAAAATAGTGTTTTTTCCCCTGTAATGGCATCAGAGCTTTAAAAAAAAAAAAAAAAAAAAAAAAAAAAAAATATATATATATATATATATATGTATTAAACTTTTATTTCTTTTGCATGTGTGTGGTGTACTTGTATGTGTGTGCTTGTGTGTGCCGGCCTTGCCTGTGTCCTAGGAACATGCTTCAGCTCCCAACTCAGTACCCAGTATCAAATTCCCCAAACACACAGGTCATAACCAAGGTCAGGAAGGAAGGTTCCTTTGGTGGTGGAGGCATCATAGTCAGGTTCAAGGCACGAGAACGGTTTCCTCTGAGGGTTTGTCATCGGGACTGCTGTCCACGGGCCACTCTCCTGGCCAGGCTGCCCCTTCCTCTCCCTGCATCGTTGCATCGGACGCCTCGGCTGATAGAAAGTGCTCACACAGCCCTGTGTGGCCGCCCCGGAGATGTGTGGGTCACCTCAGGTCTCAGGTGCCCTTTGTCTTTTCAAAGTAGAACTGAAATTTCACCTGGGCAGTCAGCTCTAGCAACCACAGAACTTTCATTTCCTCTTTATTGCAGGGAGAAAGTTCTGAACACTATTATTTCACCAAGAGAAACTGGGTGCTGGGTAGTGAGTAGACGCTGGGTGGGGGCTTGGTTCACACCTGTGTTCTTAAGTAGCAAATCACTGCCATTTCCCAGGGGGCTCATTATGCTGTGTGGAGGGCAGGAGCCTGTCATTTCTTTTTTCTGGTTTTTAATTTTTAAATTATTTGTGTCCTCCCACTTTTATTGAGATATAATTGACAAACTACGCGTATAAATTTAGGGTGTACAGGATAACGATTTGACTTACATATGCTGTGAAATGATTACCACAATAAGTTTAGTTAACATCCATCATCTCACGTAGACACGTAGACACGTAGACACACACACGCACGCATGCACGCATGTACGCACGCACATTTCCCCCTTGTGATGAGAACTCTTAGGATTTACTCTCTTAACAACTTTCATATAAACCATATGGCAGTCTTAATTATAGTCATCATGTTGTACTTTACATCCCTAGTATTTATTCTCTTCTAACTGGAAGTTTGTGCCTTTTGACCACGTTCATCCAATTCCTCCTCTCCCTATCTCTAGGAACCACACATCTGATCTCTTATCTGACCTCTTTTTTTGACCAGGTGAGCTCTGCAAGGACAGAGATGATGTCTTGTTCATCTTTGAGTTTCCTGAACCCGTGGGCTCCCTATAGAGTCAAGCAGGTTGCTCACTGTACGAAGGAGCTCAGCATGAGGGGTAAGCAGGGCTAAGTGGGACCGAAATCTCTCCTGATTCACCAAGTCATGAGCCCTGATCTTGACCTTTGAGTGTCTAAAGGAGGGATGCCTTTTCCAATAGAACAATGGCCCTATCTGCACCAGCATCACAATAGTACAAAAAGCTAACGTTCACTAAGCATGTATTCCAAGAAAGACACAGAGTTTAGTATTCTTGGTAGAGATAGGTGATTAAATAGTGTTTGTTAAATTGGATCGAAAGCCTTCTTCCTCAGCTCTGTCTCTCATAACCTTCTCATGCTGCAAGACACAGCCAAATATTACTTCTAGGTGAAGTCTTCCTTCAGCCCTAATCCACTGCTTCCTCCTGGGACACAGCAGCACCTGGTTTCTATCCTTAGAATGGCACTTTCTGTGGTGTGACTTATATGGGGGTTGGTCTCCCCCACAGGCCACCTGTCTCAGTCCTCCTGACCTTGGGTGTTTAGACACTCTAATGAAGGTTTATTAAGTGAACAACACACCAGCCCCAAGTGGCCCTTTAGACTCTGGGTTTCACCAGATCATGTAAAGATGCAGTAATTTTCATCCCTATCACCTGAAACTGAAAGCAAAATTTTAGAAATTAGTGTTAACCCAATTCATCATGTACATGTATGACTCTGTGTATATTATACATGTCTCTACCTACATGTGTGCATATATAGGTATATACATGCATATATGTATTAACATCAGCTTTGTAGACAGCGCCGGCTATGTTGAACAGGTGACTGGCAGACAGCGTGCTGACTGCTCATCCTCTGATATTACTGGATGCGTGCAGTCTGGGTTATAGCTGTGTGTGAGGGAGTCTGCATTTTGGTCCACTGATGCAGTAGATAGTTCTGGGGGTACCCCATGCCTCAGATTTTAAAATAAACCCTGTTCTGGGCTAATTGTCCTTTTTCCAAGGTAGGAGATACAGAAGAGGGGTTCATTCCCATAATCACAGGAGCTAATCCTCATTGACCTGAGTGGATCCTGAGATGTACCAATAATGTGGGACATGATAGCAGGATCTGAAACATACCCAGTCATGGCCAGTTGCGGGGATGTTGTTGGGAAAGGTCAGTGCCGACTTCTGGCACACCATTATTGATTAGAGTAATCTGACTGCGGCATTTTGAGCTTCAAAAGAAGCACAGGATTCTTCTTTTTTTTTTGTAGCTCCTTATAAATGAAAATATGAAGGTCTAAAGCAGTGCAATACAAATTGTGGTATATTTAAAATGTTTACATTTAACAAATTAATATTTTTACTATAAAAATAGAAATATAGTTTTATAATGTTATTCACAGACTGTAATGAACTTCTAAAGCAATATTAATTCAAAGTAGACTCTAAGTGACTTGGTCCAGCACCAAGCGTAATTCCAGCAGTGTAGCACAGTAACCGGGGTTAAATGCTTTTGTAGACCATGCCAAAAGTCTGACATTGAGGTCTTTGTTAATGTGATGTCTGGCTTAACTGCGTCTCATCTCCTCCCTCAAACTAGGTTTGCCTAGTGTCCCAGACAGAACCTAGGGCCTGCTCTAGGACCTGTTGTTGAATGAATGGGAGCTGAGGATATAAGGTAATGGAATTAAGTTGCTGTGAGGGCATCAAAAGGGCACATCCAGGGAGAAGCATGGGCTGTGTAACTGGAAACCCCCACCATTCAAATATGCAGATTTGCTTGGTCTGCCACTGGAACTTCAAGGGAAACTTGAAAGGAACTTGTTTCAAATTTACGCACAGTTGGGAAAGCACAGAGAGAGTCATTTTGACTTGTGGACCGAGCGCGTTCCTGGGTAACCTCTTGAGGTAGATGTTACCTCTCAGCAAATGGAATGTGCTGTGGGTGTAGGATAAAGTTGATGAGGGTTGTTTTCTGGCAAATTAAGTTTTTGTTTATACACATTCTTTCCTCCTTTGGATACAAAATCATGTGCTCTTCTGGGGCCTTCTCTAAGTCATACTGGAAGATGTAGAGACACGTAGCAATACTTGAGGTCAAGCAGAAGAAGATAAACCTTACGAAAGGTAGAATTTGTGGAACTGTAATCTTCAGTCGCCCCAGACTGAACCCTGATCCTAGCCTCAGACTGACCGTGACCCTGAACAAAGATAGCAATCAAGGGGAAGACAAGTTATATTGTGACCTTCTGCAAAAGGTCAGAGATTGTGTTTTAGGCTTTGTGGGCCTTCGGCCTCTATTGCAACTACTCCACTCTGCTGTTGTAGCATGAAAGCAACCATAGCTAATACGTAAATGAATGAGTGAGGCTGTGTTCCAACAAAGTTTGATTACTAGCCCTGGCCTGTTTGGCTCAGCGGCTAGAGCGTCAGCCTGCGGTCCAGAGAGACCCGGGTTCGGTTCCCACTAAGGGCACGTATCTCGGTTGCAGTTTGTCCCTGGCCCTGGTTGGGTCATGCAGGTGGCAACCACTCGATGTGTTCCTTTCATGTCGATGTTTCTCTCTCTCTTCCTCTCTCTCCCTCCCGCTCTATCTAAAAAACAACAAAACCCCAAACAAACAAAAAAACAGGTGGTGGCAGATTTGGCCCACAGGTACTCTGGAGTACCACATCTTCCAGAAGTATCAAGTTTAAAATATGACCAAAGAGCGCTCTTGACTTTATACAAGGGACCCCACAATTAAGTGGGACTTGAATCTCAGATAAATTATTTACAAGTTATGGGACTTGGGGGGAAACTCATAACTTCTCTCATTTCAGGCTTCTCATTTGTAATCTGGAGATTATAAAGCCTGCTTTGCCTGCCCCAGGATGGTTGTGACGCTCAAATGAACTGCAATGCATCAGCAGAAAGAAGCTCTTATTCGTGCTGTTATGGAATTGCAGAAATGCCTTTTGAGTTAAAGACTAAAGCTTCTTCATGAAAGAGATAGTGCTCATTTACCATTGAAATCTTTAGCATGGGCCATGTATGGACACTCACAATAAATGTATTGACTTTTGAAATGAAATAGATAAAATATTTTTTTCTTTTGAGTAAGTGTGGTATTATTTGAATAGACTGAAGCAATAGAAGCCCACAGTGAATAATTTGAAACTAGGACATGGGCCGTTTAATTTTTGGAAAAAAAATTTTTCTTTATTGATTTTAGAGAGAGAGGTAGGGAGAGGGAGAGAGACAGAAACATCGATGAGAGAGAACATCAATTGGCCGCCTCCTGCATGTCCTTCACTGTGGATTTGGCCCACAACTTGGGCATGTGCCCTGACTGGGAATTGAACCAGTGACCTCTTGGTGCATGGGTCAATGCTCAACCACTGAGCCACACCAGCTAAGCATGGGCCGTTTAATTTTTGAAGTTTAGCCACATTTGGGAGTGTTTTTGCACCAAACTGCCTATACAATTTTGGACATGCAGCGAAGAGCTCCCATCCGGATATTATATGTGTATTTCCAGCTCCACTCAGATATATTGGAGATGTCCTATAATTGAGGGAGGGTTTTTCCTCAGGCCTTTAGCGGTAACCGAACCCGGGTCTCTCTGGACTGCAGGCAGACGCTCTAACCGCTGAGCCAAACCGGCCAGGGCTTTCCTCAGGCCTTTAAATTTTTCTCATCAGCCCGGCCGGTGTGACTCAGTGGATTCAAGGTCATCGCATGGACTGAGAGGTCTGAGTTCGATTCCCAGTCAGGGCACATGCCCAGGTTGCAGACTCGATCCCCAGTAGGGGGCATGCAGGAGGCAACAGACTGATGTTTCTCTCTCTCTCTCTCTCTTAAAAAAAATCAATAAAATTTTCTCATCAGTAACATCCTCTTCACAAGAGAACCCTACGCCATCTGACTGGGACAGCCACTTGTTTCAACACTGTATCCCGTGAATAAACATGGCCACGTGCACAAACTCCTCAGACTCATGATACCAGCTTGTTAAACAGGTCAAGGTTTTGTTTGGTGTTTTACAGATGTGTCATTACCCAAAGAAAAGCTAAAGAGAACACTCTATTATGAATATTATTGATGCCAATAAAAAGAAAATGAAGCAAAAACCTTGGAATGCTTGTATCCTAAATCAAATGGACTAGCTCATTTATCTTTCCATTTTGGAGGCAGCAGTGAACAATGGAAAGAACATGAGCTTTGGAGTCAGCCAGACCTGAGTTAAAATTATGACTGTAGCGTGTTACAGAACTATGGCCTTGCATGGTTGACTTAATCTCAATTTTACATCTCAAGGTTGTTGTGAGAATAAAATGAATCCATGTAAATGACCCTCCCCAGCACAGTGTGGCTGGGACCTATTCTTGGGGATGGGAGTGGGGGAACGTCTTGAGAGGTGGGGGTGTTGTGGGCTGGGTAGCCTCCATCAAAGGGGTCTCTACAATGGTCTTCTTCCAGGGCTTTGCCTTCTTCTCATCATGTTTAGGATCAATGAGACCACTCTTGGCTGAAAGTAGATGTAAACCATTGCTGATCAGGGTATGATGTGGTGGAAAGGCTCCTGGACAGTCATGAAAAGAGTGACCAAAGGACGAACGGGCAGGGAGAGAGGCCCTGATCAAACATCCCAGGGGAAGGAGCCACCACCAATGGCTCTTTTGTTCATTCCTTATGGACGTTTCCCTCCATTAGCTTGTATAACAAGGATTTATCTGCATCAACCAAAATGCAGTTGCTTTGGGGGCAGTGTGAGGACATGGGGTGCTGGCGGGAGCGTCCACCTCAGAGTTAGACTAGCTGTCGGACCAGTCAGTTGGCCTCTCCGCATCTCCACTTCCTTGTTCCTTATTCTTGACATAACAGTGTTTATTCTCTACACCGGGGGTGGGGAACGTCAATACTAGCTAACAACACACGTCTTACCAAATGAGCCTGACCAAATACAGCAAGCTAATTTTTAAGTTCATAATTTTGTATGGTCTGCAAATGATGTTATAAATATTCAAATGGCCTTGGCAGAAGAAGTGTTCCCCACCACTGCTCTACACGTGTCCTGTCCTTGCATTGTGGCTTCTGCCTCCTCATCATTGCAGCTCACTCATAGCCTTCCAGGTTAATCACTGAGGTCTCTAGGTAGAACTGTTGATTTTAGCACCCCCAGAAGCTGCTGGCCTTGCATGGTCGCCGGCCTTTGGGTCAGGTGTCCAGCCCAGATCTAATCAGCATGGCCAGCAGGAAGACAGGATGGACATGGTCACATACTGTACCTCAGAGCTGGCCTGTTAGCGAAGACTGTGGAGGACCGGGCCATTTCTGATAGGAGATTGTGGATGTGACATGCACCATGACTGATATCCAGAACACAGAGATAAGACAGAGAGCTTTAATGCAAGATTGACCGTTGCAGCTGCAATAGGAGAAATGCTGACAAAGTGTTTTTCAGATGAGAAAGAACTTACCTTCTAGCTAGGGGAGTAAAGGAAAGGATCCGTGACCTCCGGAACATCTCTGACCCTTGGTTAGTCAAGGCCCATACTTGGACTTGAAGGTGGGGGTCATTCCTATGAAAACCTCATAACTGGGAAATTCAGGGAGTTTCTAAATCAGTCCATCGCATCACCTGGCCACAGGCATTGATTCAAGGCTGGGCGTATAACAAAAGTCAGGCCAGTCAGGGACCTTGAGGTCCACCAGGAAACAGACATTCCCGCTTCTCTGCTGGATGTGAACACGAAAGCACATGGCCTTAGCTCATGGCAGCAATCTTACAGCACAAGGGGAGAGAATTCTGAGCAGGGAACCCTCACTGAGGAAGTAAAGCTTGGAGGGGGGGAGAGAGAGAGAGAGAGAGAGAGAGAGAGAGAGAGAGGAGAGACATTGTGCCCTGGACATGTCATTTTGGGAAAATATGGGAAGCAGAGTGAGATAGTGACAAATCAATTTGCTGAGAGCATTGGAGCAGGGATGCCCATATTGGAAAGGCAGATTGGAAAGAGATCATTGAGGGTCTTAAATGGGGGATGAGAGGCTCTTTTCTGTAGGCAAAATAGAAAGCTTTTGGAAATATTTAAGTACTGTGATATGAGTGGTGTTGGGGATAAAATAATCAGCAATGCGTACAAAATAGGTTAGACTGGAGAGAGGCTGCAGGTGGGGAGACCATTGGAGCTTACTGCAATAATCTGAAGACCTGAACTAGAGCAGCTTCAGGGGAAAGAAGAGAAGGATGTGGAAAAATCAGACCACAGAGTCAAGATTTTAGAGTAAGGTTTTGTCATTTACTAAAGGCTGCATGAAGGAGGGAGAGAGGAAGGGTGCCTGCACGCAAGCCAGCTGAGCACCACACCTCGAGTTCTTTTTTTTTTTTTATCCTCACCTGAGGACATTTTTCCATTTTTTATTCAGATAGAGCAGGAGGAAGAGAGAGGAAGAGAGAAAGAGATAAACATCGACGTGAAAGGGACACATCGAGTGGCCACCACCCGCACTACCCAACCAGGGCCGGGGACAAACTGCAGCCAAGGTACATGCCCTTAGCGGGACTCGAACCCAGGTCTCTGGGGACCGCAGGCTGACACTCTAACTGCTGAGCCAAACCAGCCAGGGCCACACCTCCAGTTCTTGGATGACCCCTCTAGGCTAGTAGTTTATCACCATAAAAGATGGACGTAAAGATTAGACAACAGAGAAGGTCAACTATTTTCTTTAGGTACATTGTCACAATGCAAGTGAATAGTGATTTTACAGCCTTGCGAAATAATAGCCTGCGGTGTTGACTCATAATCCTTACCATCAGCAAACTTCAGGAACTATTTATAGAGATTGCTAGCCCCATACTTTTGAAAGGGGTGGCAATGAAACAGCATGTCTATTGAGATTTGAACTTTTTCTTTAACTGGCTGTGTGACTCTGGGTAAACCACTTACCCTCTTTGAACTGTAGTTTCCTCAACTGTAAAAAGGGGAAGGGTAGCCCGGCTGGTGTGGCTCAGTGGTTGAGCGTCGACCCATGCACCATGAGGTCTCCAGTTCCACTGCTGGTCAGGGCACATGTCCAGGCTGTGGGCCCAGTCCCCAGTGGGGGCCATGCAGGAGATGGCCAATCGATGTTCTCTCTCATCGAAGTTTCTATTTCTCTTTCCCTCTGCCTTCCTCTCTCGCTAAAATCAATGAAGAAAAAAAGGAAAATAAAACAGGGGGGCGGGGAGGTAAAAGCTTCTTTCCAGGCTTGTGGTCCTCACCTCATGCTCTCATAGACAACCCCCCCTGCCTGTTTCTAATAAATAAAAGGTAAAGCAAAAATTATTGAAAATAATAAATAGAAGGTCCTTTCCCCCTTCTTTTCTTCTTTTTTGAAGAACGCTTTGTGTTTGCAGGCTGACCTTCCACAGGTACTATTTGTGTTGTTAACAGCTTGTTGATGGGTTTCTTGTAGCTTTTATGGTTAATCTGTCTTCTAGATTCTAGTGCTGTCTGCATTACAGACCCAAGATAGCCTTTCCTTGCTCTGTCTTATATACTGGGGTGGTGGGGGGGTGATGGTAACTAACACAGTATTTTAGTATGATGATTTATTTGCTTAAGGAGCTGCAAACTACCTCTGATTTATCTGATGATGGGGAGGCGGTGCATCGCAGAGAGGGGCTGTGGGTGTGGCCAGCACTGTGATTGGAGCGTCTAGAGCAGAGGCGAACAGCAAGGGGAAGTGATGAGGACCACAGAAGAAGCAGAGATGGAGTACATGGCTAGGGAAGAGCCACCATTGTGGATCCGGTGTCCCCGATCTGGCAGCAGCTCCCTTTCCCCTCCACGCCCACTTACTGAGTGCTTACTATGTGCTGAGTGTCTGTACTCTTTTGTTTAATTTTTGAAATAATCCTATGAGGAAGGTAAA